CTCCCTGGGGGGGCGCTGGCAGGTTTCTCCAAGGCAAGAGCAGCAACCGCTCACGTCATCATTAGAGAAAAAGTAGATCCATTCTTAAAAAAGTAGATCCGGTCAGACTATTTTTCTGGTCAACAGGAAAATAGTTCTTTAAGGTGTAGTGATACCAACCCAGTCTCATGGCAGTCTGTGAACCGGTCGTGAAGTCATTTGATCTAATTATTGATTTGTGTTTATGTACACATGTTTTTTTTCGTGCCATCAAAAACGAAATATTGTAGTTTAATTAAAAGTATATTTCGTGCCTAATCCTATTGTTTTTTAAAGTCAGGTCAATTTAAAATGTTGAGTCGGTATATTGAGAGCCGAAGTCCCGCCCATCTATTCGGAAAAAGTATGTATTGAAGTCAATGGAGAGAGAAAGATTATCTTTCGATCCCGTTTCAATTGTGCCACCAATTACACATATGATGTTTGTCAATCTTAAAAAATCATTTCCATGTCAAGAAAGTCACAGTTTGTCGTAAAACTGTTGAAATATAAGACTATGAAAAAAATGCAACTAGAAAGACTACAAATCCCAGAGTCCCGGTCCCGCATGCTGGCTCTTACGGAACCAACTCACTCCCCTTGTGTGTGTGTACAGCTCTCAACATGCCCAGACTTGTAGTGATTTCCACCTCTTTTAATACTTTCCGCCTCATTCTGAAAGAAAGAAGTGAAACGTGCCAACGTGACGGCCGTCTTGGTGTGTGGTGCGAGATGGGAGATGTAGTTCATTGAGCGGTTTCACACAAAATAATGTGTTGCTTCACAGTTTTGCGACACATTTTAATTTGTTTGACTTGCAAAATTATCTTTTAAATGGACAGACATCATATGTGTAATTCGTGGCACAATTCAAACGGGATCGAAAGATAATCTTTCTCTCTCCATTGACTTCAATACATAATTTTTCCGAAATAAGGTCCCATGGAGCTCCCCCGAAAGGGGAGGGACTTCGCCTCTCTATGATAAGAGGACTGAGCCTCCGCATGTCTGATTAAAAAAACTGTTTTCTTTAACACCTTTTGCCCTCAGCTTTATTCACACTAATGTTTTGCTACGGGCTGATACCTCAGCATGAAAATCACCTTCAGCGGCTGGACAGTTGATCCTGTTATATTACCATAACAATCGCATTTCAAGGTCGGACTACTTCAATGACACGAAGCCTTGATGAGATTTGTCCATTTCATTACGTACGGAACTCTTCAGTCGGGAAGCTAATCGGCAATCCCACAGAGACACACATTGCTTTAAAATCTAGGCTTATTGCATATTTGGTAAAAATGTACTGTCAATATCTTAGTCCGGAGCATTCAACGTTTCCAAAAGAGCACAGTAAACCGTGACGTTTGTTTGTATTCCGATTTGAAATGACAGGCTTATTGTGGACAGAAGGCCAACACGGAGAGAAAATGGTGCTTTCTCAGATTTAGCCGGCTTAGTGTGGACGTCATCTTAAAAGACGCAGGACACTAAATCCACATTATTAAGCTGTGTTAATCACAGCAGCGCCATAATGAAACATCAAGGCTTTTTTCTGGATACATGGTGGCTTTAGCGTGCTAATGTTTTTGTTGTCCATGTAAATCTTGTGTGTCCAAAACTAAAGGATTGCCTGAATCACTACTGGATTCCTCTGCAGTTCAGTGTCTTAAGTCTTTTTATACATTTTCTCCTGCAGCTGTATCATTCACCGACGGCGAGAAGGAGCAGCTGAGGAAATTCACAAACCGTTCCTACCTGCTGGACAAGGCGTCCCGTAACCAAGTGTGGCTGAGCCTCGTGGACATCCTGCTGACATATTCCTATGAAGTGCGCTCTACAGAGGGAGAGCACAACGTGAGTGTGTGTGTGTGTGTGTGTGTGTGTGTGTGTGTGTGTGTGTGTGTGTGTGTGTGGGTGTGGGTGGGGGGGCAAGAGACAACTCCTCCTGAGCAGCACTTAGCCTTGGATGACAAAGCCCTCTATCCTCAAATCCTTTAGACCCCCTTCCATTTCATTCAAAGCCTTAAGAGATTACCAGCAGATCCCAGAGCTCAGTCCGGGCCTCTTTGTGTCACTCTGCTAAGGTAGCTGCACAGAGGAGAGGTGAGCCGGCCAGATTTCATTAGAGACAGTTCACAGCGCGTGTGAATGAAAGACTAGAGATATTTGATATAGCAAGATCCGTCATGGGAACATTTTAATTTGGAGACCAAGTCCCCTAGCCTGCTCCTTGCAGTGAACATGATTTTATCCCATCAGAGTTATGTTACTGTGTATTCCCCCTGTCTGTCATTGCTGTGGTGATAAGTGGTCCCTTTCCCCCCCGCAGGTAGAGTCACCGTGGACGATCAGAAAACTCAGCGGGACTCTCTGCTGGCTGGAGGTGAGTCAGTTACTGCCCAAGGAAATAAGATGTGAAGGATTTGCTCTTACATTCTTATGTATTTGCTAATTGAATTGTGACTAGAGCCATATTTAATAGGGCTGACATCTACTGGTCAGTTGGTCCGTTGGTTGGTCAACGGGCGATTGTCCAACCATTTGTTATTGGTCGGATTATGGAGGTTGTTTCTCTCAATCTCAAAATATTGCTGTTTACCATTATTTACTAGGGCGTGTTTGTGAAAGAAGAAAAGAGACTTGGTGCACACACACACACATGCACGCACACACGCACACACACACACACAAGCAATGCCTAAAGTTAGCCATTTCCTGTTGATTAACTATGAGTCTGTCATTTACGTGTAAAATGTATGTACATAATACTAATGTTATAAAGGATTTAATATGCTGCTAATAGCTTGAAATAATATGCTGTCATTTCCCCTTAATTGACCAATTGATATGTTGAAGAGTTGGAAGAGTTTTAGTGAACCCAGATTTTCTTTGTTAGTTCCGGATCAGATGTCCTCTCAACCTTCTTAAACAGCAACAAACAGGCCTTGGGAAGAGTGATTGCACATTAAAAAAGGTCATTTGTACAATTGCTTTGGCTCTTGAGGGTCCTGTGTGAGTCTAATAAGTAGATGTTCCTTGACTCAGCGTTGTATGCCGCTAAAAACTACAAGCAAANNCTGGCCCTGGCCTGATAGAACCATAATTTTATGGGGCCGGAAAAAGTACCCGCTAGCCGGTGCTACGCTATATGGAAAGGCCACCAAAAACTGGCCTGGCCGCTTGAGGACGATTAAGGACGCTTAAACGGGGCTACCCGCTGCAGTGGGAATGCGCCATAAGTCTTTCTTTTGAACACACGGCCATTTAATCCCCAGGATAATTTCTGTGAGATTTATGATCCTCAAAGATTGAAGTAACACTCCGTCTTGTGTACATTTGTCTACTGAACACACACTTGCTCTTATATTTGTATTCCTCCGGTGCACTGCATATCTACTTGCTTGCATATCCCTTGACTCCGCAAGTGTTACATCTCCTCTCAAAGCTCAAGTGTTTGCAGAAGCGGCTGTGCAGATGTGAGTGCACGTGCCTGAGCTTTCTTTGTGTGTGTTCTGTTCTGCAGCTGCACTGCTGAGGGACTCAGGTAGCGCCTGCAGGGAGCTAAAGCCTGACGTAATGCAGCAGGAATCTCCTTCCCAGCAGAGCCTCGTTCCCACTGCAGCCGGAGAGATCATTCCGCTGCATGTGTATAAATATATCAAGTGTGCCCGCGTGTGTGTGTGAGTTCTCGAAGCCAATACACAGCCGTGCTTCTCCCACATCGGGGGCTCAGCGCAGGGACTCTCCTCATGCAGAGAGAACAATTGCTTTCAGCTGTTTTATAAGCTGCCGGGAGAAGGAGAGAAAGAAGAAGCGTCTGAGTTACAGCGTGCTCCTGCAGACTTTCAGCGCGCCTTTCAATACCGCACGCCGCAGATAGCTTAAATGGGATTGAAGTCTGTTTGTGTCGCCCCATTAGGCTTGCCACAGATCCCCATTAAGCAGATGTCTCTTTTTTAAAAGGCAACAGTTAGTGAGTTTGCAGAGAGCGGGGGGGAAGCAGACGTTTTGAGATATTTTCATTTGATGGAAATATATAATTCAGATGTCAGATGCATCTTAACTGATTTAGTGTAAGCCTGTTCAACCTATTTTCTGCCCGTCATTAACTCCTGTCATCATGCGCCTGAACGAGGACAATTTGCCCCCCCGGCTGTTCCACAATAGCAGGTTGTACTCCAACGGTAAAAAAACTTGTTTTATTTGCGTAAATATGTGCAACAGTTTGAACCTGAAACAGGAAGACTGTGTGTGTGCTGATATTTAGAAAAATGTTGCACCGCCAGCCTAACAACAGCTGATAGATGTGCACGTGTGTGTAGTTTCAGCTCGAGATATGTTCAAACTGGGAGCTTTTTTAATTCCAGGAAATAAAATGTGACATTTTCTAACACCTATTCGATCTTGTGAGGGTCTCAAAATAAGTACAGCTCGATTGCCTTAGTATAACTCACCTCAAATTAAAGAAACACCTAACTGTTCTGGTTAGTCTTTCCACTGTTAAAACAATCACTAAAAATAAAACCTACCCCACCTTGCCTTTTAATAGAGTTAACACATTCTGAATCAAAGTTTCTCTCATTCACAGAACCAGTTTAATTGCAGAATAAACTCACCTGAAAACGCTGAGAAACAAAATGAAACCCAACCCAATCGTCTTACGTAGTCTTCCCACCGTTACAGCTATCAGCCGTTCTGGTCTTGTCTAAATAAACCCTTATATCACTGAGTTAGATGTTAGAATATATTGACTTCACAAGCTGTTTTCTCGCTATCTCTCCATCTCTGCCCGCTGAGCAGCAGCTCTCACTCATTCTTCGGCGGCAAACCAATAAATGTAATCTTATCTTTAATCTTAAATGAGTTGACAAAGAAAGAGAATAAAATAAAATGTATTTCATGCATCTGACTGGGTGCATTATCCCGCTTGGAGGAGTTGGAGAATTATTCCAGGGCCATTCATCCATCATTATCGTCTTAATCTGAGGGGGGGGGGGGTCCTGTCGTTGAGAGTACGGGGCATGGATGTATAAAGAGAATTGGATACACCAGTGTTCATTCCTTTGAAAGATCCTCGGTGTCGCATGAAGTCAAAACGGCCTGCCTCTCGAGAGATAAGTACCCATATCTGGGCCAATGGAGCAGATGCACTTGCGTTTTGATTAAGCTTTAAGGTCATTAAAATTAATGCTGCGAGAAAAATCTGGAGTCGGCTTTTACTGCATTTGACAACTTTAAGACCCTTATGATTTAGACGAGGGAAATATAAAAGTGTTTGTACTGGGTAGTTAAAAAAATATCCATTGATTTACAAACGTCTCTTTCCCAATGTAAGTCAATGGGGAAAAAGTCCTTATGAGCACAATGACGTCACGGACTGACACAGAAGTCGTTGTGCCACCCATTGGCCACTATATCAATTTGCTTCAATGCCCGGCGTAACTTCTTGAGGGGTTTGTAGGGGGCCCCCAAAATTCCCTTTCCCTGGACACATTAACAGCTTTGACTTGGGGATTCAAAGGCGTTCTCAGGTCCCTGGTTCTCAATACTCTGACCTTCTCCCAGCTGGAAAAGCCTTAACAAAAAATGTGGCACTATTAATAGATCCTTGAACACCTCAACTGGCTCCTTTTTATACGCAAGGAGCATTTGCTGTACTCTGAATCCTCTCACCACTATAGAGAGACGAAGGCCCGCCTTCTACTTCCGCCCCATGGGACCTTATTTCGGAAGAATTATGTATTGAAGTCAATGGGGAGAGAAAGATTATCTTTCGATCCCGTTTGAATTATGCCACGAATTACACATATGATGTTTGTCAATCTTAAAAAATCATTTCCATGTCAAAAAAGTCACAGTTTGTTGTAAAACTGTTGAAATATAAGACTATGAAAAATACGCAACTAGAAAGACTACAAATCCCAGAGTAAGTAAGTGATGTCATTAACATTACACCAGGGCTCTCGACTAACTTTTTTCACCATCCTCCCGGAACCGTCCCGAAATACAATCTAAGCCGTCCCGAAATTAATGTGGACCGTCCCGAATTTAAAATATTAGTTTTTCTACTACTTATCATTAGTTAAAATCATTCAAAGTGACCTTTAACATAAATAAAACATCATACAAATCATTAGATGATAATTCATCAACCTTTTTATTTGAGTAAATCAGTCAATCACATAAACAAAGGCCAAATATATTTAAACAAACACACAAACGAGAAAATGACTCTAATATTGAATCAAATCAAGTCCCATCCAATTAACAAAAAAATCCAACACTCTGTCCTGAAGACAGAACCCAGAGTAACCACTAACCAGGAGGACAGTCTGTAACACAGTCAGGAGACCTTTACAAACTGCCCCGCCCCCTCGCACACAGACGGGAGAGAGAGATCTCGTCTGGATTGGAAAGCTCGAAAATACATCATAGACGCATGTTGTAGTCTTATTGCATATTAGAAACGGAGTTGGCTAAACTAAAACTGCGATATAATGTTTATGTAGCAATACTACATATGACATATCTTTTTTAAATGTCTCTGGTACCGATAAAAAGTCAGATAACGTCGGAGCTTAACGTTACCACTGTCTTTAATAATTCCGGCCCGGGCGGAGCCCGTTTAATACCGGGGCTCGGTACCCATCCATACATGGGGAGAGGCGCAGCATATTGCTAAGGACTAAATACGATGGAGGGTTCTCATCTCAGCCTTATTACCCATAGGGGATGAAGTGGAGTAAGTAAATAAAGAGGCCGGCGCTCCAGGGTCTGGTTCTGCTGTGCGTTTTTTTGATGTAATGGTAAAACATTTCAGAATTCCTCCACGGGATACCATTGTCATTTTACATCACTCAACCCGCGAAATACACACACTCAGTACATAGCCTACTGTAGATAGACCCGCGAATTTGCGGGCCAGGAATTCGCGGGCACAGCCAGCTGTGCGGCTGGGTGACAGCCATGGGCACAGCTTACGTCAGTCTGTCTGTCTGTCTGTCTGTGTGTGTGTGTGTGTGTTTCGCGGGTTGCTAATGTTTCTTTATTATTAATAACGACTCTAATTAACTAAGTAAAATTCCGTAATTAGCTCGTCTGTGGGGTATTATTTATCATTGTTTCACAAACAAGAGATAGTAGGACATTATGGTACGTATTTCTTTTAATCGTGAACGTCCCAATTTGTAGATACGATCTTTTCACGTGTGTGTAGACTAGCTCAATTTTGATTTGACCATGTCTATTTTCGTTAACACGGCTGGTCGTACCTTATAAAGTTCCGAACCACTAAATGTGTAATCCATTACGTACTTACATACTTGGTCGACTTAGAGAATGTACGTTGGATCGCTGCTCTGTCGAACTCTTGTACTAACTTGT